CCAGGGAGTCTTCTCTTCTCATGAGATGGCCAAAGTACTGAAGCCTTAGCTTTAGGATCTGTCCTTCCAGTGAGCACACAGGGTTGATTTCCTTCAGAAATTAGTGCACTTAAATTACACTAAGTTGAGTGTGTTTAAATTGTCTGCTTTTTTTATCTAGGTAGCAACCAGTGCACAGTATGAACTTTAAAACCATATGGAAGAACTACCAGGTTGTAGTTGTTACGATACCAATCGTTCTGATGGTGCATTTCACCTGGTATAAAATCAAGGACAATCCTATTTTCAATCCAAGTATTGCAAGCCCCTTTGATCCAGAGCCTGATGTTGTGTCACATGTTGAAAGAGGAAAAACAAAATAATGAGAACCAGCCAAATAGTCCTTCAGAATAATTAAAAGGTAAGTCCCCATTGTAAGAGGCATAATGTAAATGAAAAAGAATCCTGTTATATAGCTCGACACAAAGTTGATCTTTCTTTTAATCTCCCTGTTCCTTATAATTAAGTTGGTTCCCTACCAGCATTAGGGAAGCCGCCCTCCCTCCATTGCACAGTAGTAGCCAGCCTTTTGCATCAGATCATAACAGTAGTCTGCCTCTCTTACATAGACAGATTTACCCTTACAGTTTTTGAGAGTAAATCAGGGTGGGCAACATGGATGGCTGAATACGCCCCCAGCTATCTGGCTGGCCCGTAGTGAGTTCCAGGGATCTGGTGTGCTTTTCTACCCATTATCTCCTTGTAGAATAAATCAATAACAAGAGGGGATATTAAGGAGTTGAATTAGCAAGTGGAGAGAGATGGTGCAGCTAATTGATTAGATACAAATCAGGAAGTCTGTGGTTCAGATCTCACCTCTGTCATTAACTCATTAAAGCAGTTGTTCCCAATTGTAGATCTGCAGATGTTCTTGGACTATAGCTTAGAGAAATCCTGACCAGCACAGATAGTGGTGAAAGCTTCTGGGAATTTTAGTCCAAGCCCAAGGTTGGTAACCACTGCATTAGAGAACCATTACTCAAGCCATTCTGTTAAGTCTTATTTGGTCCCTAATCAGTAGTACATTAAATGTATCTATTGCAGAATGGTTGTATTGAATAAAATTTAAAGTGCTTTAGAAGCTCAAACACAGTCCATGAATGTTGTGGCATTGTTTTTATTTGCAGCATTGTGTCCAAAATAATAGCATAATTTCAGACTAGAATAGCAATGCCAATTTAAATTTTCTTCTTAATTATGAAAACTGGATGACTCCATGGTGCACGATAGTATGTTGGGATTAGGAACTGTTATGCAGAGAATGGTAATACTTTTCATGAGAAAAATGAGCTTTCTTCTTGCAGAAACATTGAAGTCTGTTTTAAAGTAGTACCAATTTTCATCACCTACTAATAGGATTGCAGTGTATTTTCCTGGCTGCTTCAATTCATAGACCTTAACACTTTCCATCAGTTTTTGTTTCCATAGTGGTGAGAAAATGGGATTGAGACACAACTGCACATCTATAAAAGATGCAGGGCAGCTGTGATTTGTCACCTGCCTTCACAAAATGGCTGTAAACACAGTCTTCCTGCATAATTCATAGCAGCACATACTGAAGCTATTAAAGAAGGACTCATATCTACTCCTTTCTCAAAATAGTTTCTTTTTTAACTCACCTGTCTGTAGGCTTCAGTGAAGATAGGGATTTTTCCCTCATCTATTTCTGTGAGTGTAAAATGCATTTTTATTCATGTATTTCAAATCCAAGGGGCCCTTTTTTCCAGCTCTTTCAGTTGCTGACATATAAATCGTGCAGCCAGTATCTGAGTAAATTTACTCTCCCAAACCCACACAAATCCCCAAGCTCAAGAGCAAAGTAGTTTACTGGGATCTACAACAAAACACAGAAAACAGAACTCTGCCCCCATCCTCACATAGGGAGCATTGACTTGTATGGTATGTATCCTAGGTAGCCAAGGCAAATTCACAACTGTATAAATGTCCAATTAGACCACTTGAAGCTGGCCAAACACAATGGTCACATGTGTCAACATGCCAAAAAATATAATGTTTGTGTGACAACCATACAGCCTATTGTCTTATTGTCACTCTCTTCCCTGCTCACCCCCCCTCCACACACACACCTGGCACTCATGGTAATTTATAGCTGTCAAGTAGCCCAGATACCTTTCGTATATACATGGTGATCCAGCTGCAGTAACTGTGGTCTTAGTGTCCATCACCATGTAAGTAATGTGAAGCTCATCATCTGACATCCGTAGATGTGACCCTTCCTGAATAGCTGTGTAACTCAGTATTTGGATAACCTGTGGCTGGAATGGGATACAGCTGCATCGTGTCTCTAGCCTTTGAGAACAGATTAGTGCTCTTGATGATTAGACTGATGTCTGGTAGCATTGCCTGTAAAAAAAAACACAAAAAACTGGTGGGTAATGTGTGACCTTCTCATTGTGTAGAATGGCTGCTGCCATCCCACCAGCTCTAGCTGATACTTTCAAGTGATAAGGATGTTGTGAACAACAATGTCTGTACATGGCACATGTACCCTTTCCTTATTATGTAGCACATTGCTTCAGCTGTATGTTGGTTCTGTGGCTTTATGCTATCTGTTTCCTTTATTTCATTAGCAAATTTTTACATTATTTCTCTGCCCCTGCAAATAATTCACAATTCGGTGCTACAGCCCCATGGCCACGTGGTAGAGAACAGTTTATCTGGGACCTGGCCAGGGATACAGAAATTCATCAAGACCAAAACATTCAGCACAAAAAAATCCCACCTTTCCAGATTTCCCCTTGGATTTCTGTGGATTTTTCAGAAATCATATGGTTTTTTTCTTCAACATCATGACTTCTAGCGGTTTTGTTTTACCTAAAATAAAAGAAAATGTCAATGCCTTGAAATTCAGTAAGGTTCATCTGCATTTGCTGCAACTAAAATGAACCCCATTTTAGCAGATAATTTTAATCTTTTCCATGTTTTAGTATTTTAATATTTTAATTTAATTTTAATTTGTCTTTTAATATTTAACTTATTGTGTTTTTAACTGTGTGGATTTTAATATTGTGAGCTGCTTTGGGTCCCTTGTTGGGAGAAATGTGGCATATAAATAAAACTAATAATAACAATAATACTAAAATAAGTACATATCCCCTTTAGCCTATGTATAAGGATGCACACATGTGTTGTAGACATTCCATAATAATTAAAAATGTAAAGTTTGTTGCATTTTCGTGCATCTCTTCACATATAGACCGAATTACTGGGTACAAAATCACAGTGCATGTCTTCTGTCAAAGAGATATGATTTTCATAATTATTGAAATAACAGTTCTGTAATCTATTGTCGGTAAATTACATTAGTAAGAAAAGGGGTAAAATGTTCAATTACATTATTGCTGCAGACATCAGAATCCAAGTGAAATGTAACTCTGTGATTCAAAATTATAATATTTTCATATTAGAAATCCCAAAATGCCTGCCTTGGTTAATGTTCTTTTTTCTACATTTTGAAAACACTAAAAATGTGGACTTCTGTATTATATTCGTTCAGCAGTATGTTTATGGAATAGTGTTGATTGGATGAATTGCCTGAATGTTTTGAACCCTTACGTGGTATCAGGATGGATTTGATTTAAATCAAATCAATTTCAGTCACAATTTAAAAAATTTAAAATTGCAGTTTTGATTATTTAAATTTAAAAAATGATTTTTTAAAAAGTTAAATCATCTTTTAAATCAGTTTGATTTTTTTTATTTAAATTTTAAAAATGATTTTTAAAAAAGTTAAATCATGTTTTAAATCAGTTTGATTTTTAAAAAAAGTAGATCTTTATTCATCTTGCTAGGTGTGCATCAATGCACTAATTGTGTATTTTGCAGGAGCAGACAGTCATTTGCCACAGTTTTCACTGAATTAATCAGTGTTAATGAAAGAATAAGCTCTGTCTGGAATTGTAGCTTTACAGAGTGTTTTCTTGTTCATTTACAGGCATGTTTCACTTGAACAAACAATGAAGAAGAACAGCTGGATTAGGAAGAACTGGTTGACTGATGGCCAGACTGTGGTTTGTTGCTATTTGTCTTGGGATACACTCTGCTGAAACAAGCTTGGCAGCTAAATCAAAGGGACTCGCTAAGTGAAGCCATGTCTGCCCTCATCACTTTGATTATTAATGCAGCATCTAACTTAAATGTACTATAAACTGTGCTGTATCAGTACCGCAAAAGGAAACAACAGCCCTTAGCCCGGATGTGTGTATCATTCATTAAAAAGGTCTTTTGCACAAATAGGCTCAGTCTAAATGTGACTGGTATTTCATCTGGAACAATGGCTTCTGTTGACATTAAAAAACCTTCCTTATGTACAAGTGAACCTTTAGCTAAGGAGAGCCTTAGTCATGCTCTGTCTGTATTCAGTAAAATAGTAAGATCCTGCTATGGCCCCACAGGTAGGCTCAAGCAGCTTCACAATGGGTTGGGTGGATGTGTCCGCACATCATCTCAGTCTTCTGTTTTGCTTAGTGGCCTTTCAGGCAGTCATCCGGTGTTAAAGCTCCTGACGGCTTCTGTGCAGAATCATCTGGCACGCTTCAGTGACTGTGGCTTGTTTACAACCATTGTTTGCTGCAACCTGCTTGAAAAATTTCAAGACACGCATGTTGCTCCATGTACTTTCATTAAAATCAGCCAACACCTTTTGAGTCAGTGCATTAACTATCTTACTTCTGAAGCATGTGGTTGTAGAATACCAGTGGATTTTAGCAGTTCTAAGATTCTTCTTGGTCTGGTGCGGAGTATATTAACCAGCAAACCTACCTGCATGCTTAGCAGAAAGGAAGCAGATCATATCAGTATTTTGCTACTAGAAGCCTTTCTGTTTACGATCCCACAAGAAGTCCGCACTGGTGCGGTGCTAGGAAAATGTCTGTACGTCCCTGTGAAAAATAAGAGGGTTATGGATTCTGCTGTCTATTCTGGACTTCTTATTGAAATCTCAGAATTGCATGTGACAAATGTGCCTCCCATCAAAAGAGGCCCTTTGGGTGCAATCAAGATGGCACTTTTCTGTGCCTCTCTATCTGGAGATCTTGCTAACAGTGGAGAAGGAGTCCTTACTGTCCATCAAGGAATTTCTTTAGAAGCAATGGTCTTACATCAGTTGCTTAATTTAGGCAAGCAGATGGTAAGAGACGGTGTAGGCCTTGTCGTCTGCCAGAAGGTTATCCACCCAGCTTTACAACAGTACCTGAAGGAGAACTGTGTTGTGGCAGTCGAGCGAGTTGGGATAGCATTGATGGAGCCCCTGCAGCAAATGACAGGTAACGGATGCACTTTTGACTGACCGTTTCATGATAAGGACTCTCATGGAAGAGCAGGGTTGGAAATCATAAACGTAAGTCCTGGCTCTGACCATCCTTCTAATGAGATTCATCTGGATTTGAGGCCAAAAGACCAAGGCTGCAAAGAGGTTGACCTGTGCGCAGACACAGGTTGTGACCCTGTACAACACTACCCCTGACCACAGAGCACATTTTGAAAGCTTTACAAACATGTTCGTCAGCCATTCTTGTGTAGCCAGCAAGCATCATTGCAGTAGGAGGTGGAGCTCCCATTCACAGAAACCTCCATCCCGGCATTCAGGGACCTCTCCTGTTTCCAATCCCTGTGCCATAGTCATAAACCGCCCAGAGGAGACATTTTGAAATGGGCGGTATATAAATCTGATAGATAAATAAATAAATAGTCTACCCATCCCTATTTATGGGGCTCCCATCACCCCTCTGTAGAAGTGGGGAGATGTTCTGGGATCTGCTGGAGGGAATGCGGAGATCCAATTCTGTGAACTCCCGAGTACCTAACATTGGATTGAACCCTTGAAGAAGAATCCATTGCCTTCCATTTAAGATTCTGTACTAGCCTTTGTATCTGTGTTCCAATTCCATTTCCTTTTCTTCTCTTCCTACTATAGCTGTCTTCTCATGCTTTCAATTATTCCAGTGTTATCAAGACTTAGCAGCAAATATATACATCTACATGCCTTGTTTTCTTTCCATGTTGTTAAAACAGAAACGTTTAATGAAGAACTCAATGTCCATGAATTTTTGAGCTCCTGATGTTTGTGGCAGTGAGTTCCATGGGTTGATTATGCCTTTTCAAAGCAGTGCTTTGGATTCTGAAATGAGACTTTGGCAGAGCCTGGAATAGATTACCTCTTAGGGTACAGTTCCCTGCATCTCCCCTGTTTAGCATCCAGTCTTTAAGAAATGAACTGTTCCCAATTGAAATCAGACAAACAGATTAGAGTTCTATACTTAATTATAGAGTGTGTGGCCTTTCTGTTTGTAAGATAATGTACGTTATTATTCTTCCTCACCACTGAACAGGTTCTCAGCCGATCTCTTCTCTACAGCTTCTGTCCCCTGCTTGTTATGGTCATTTAAAGGACTTGCAAACTCGGTGTTTTGCTACGAAGTGCTTTTTTCATCTAATTCCCAGTGACCCAATTGTCTGCAGTTTGGTGCTATGTAACAGGAACGAAACAGCATGGGATGAGCTGAAGGTAGGAGGAATCTCTATAAATATCTCCTGTAATGCCTACTCTCACAGAAGCAGCACTGAAGGGAGAATATGATGAAAAGGGTAGTCATTTTGGTCAACTCTGCTAACCCACCCTCGCTTTCAGTAACAGAAGGGAGGCAGTCAAGTAACTTAGACTAAGATTATTAGCCCTGAGGGAGGCAGTCAAGTAACTTAGACTAAGACAAGATTATTAGCCCCATTAGCTGCATGGGCGTGTGCGCATACACACATTCCTACTTACTTGTGTGTAGACAGACACATTTCAATGCATCTTTCCCTACCTCATGAGATGGAATCATGAGGGTGGGAGTTTAAAGCTCCCTTCCCAATTTGTGATCTACTTGACTGCTCGGTATCATGCTCTTATCTACAATATTATTCATATCTATAATGTCCTTGTCCCTCAGTGGTTAAGGGATCTGGCTGCACAGCCAGGGGCTGGGAGTTTGAGTCCAGGGCTGTGCTCAAGGATCCATAAGGTCCCTTCCAGCTCTCCAGTTCTAAGATTATTCTAAGATTAACCCCTGAAAGGCAATTCCCTCACTGCCTTTGGGATCACACCCCCCCTCCACAGCAGGATTGATGCACAACTATGCCTAGCTGTGACTGGAGATCAAGGTGGTGGTGAGAAGGTTTCCCTTTTCTCCCTTGTCAATAACCCCAGCGCAGAAATCTCTGCCTGCCTGCTGCAGTTAGCAGGAAAGAAGCATCAAACCATTCCCTGGCCCTCCCCTGCCTCCCAGCTGAGGGCTAACCAGCAGGGAGCAGGAAAAAGTTAGCAAAGCCCCTCAGGATTGCATGGGCTCACAGTCTCCTTAATCACTGAATGGAGATTTGAATTGGGGTTTCCCATGTCCAGATATCACACGAGCTGCTTCCTGTTACTAACTCAAGCTAAGTGAATCTTGATGAATGAGTGGGGAAGGCTGCATCAAATAAACAGTGCCGTGTAGTGGTTATAGTAAGGTGGTGTTATTAATGTGATACTGGGCTGAATATGCCTTTTAAACTTCTCACGTTTGTTTTTGCATATGTGATAGTGTGTCTACACTTTGAACCTGGGCTCAAGGCCCCATTTGGCCAGGATGTTAATGGACTTGCGTGGCCTTGGGCCAGCCAAGGTTTGGCAGGCTAAATCTGCTCAAATGGTTGTTGGGCAAATAAAGAGGATAAGCCCTGTATACAATCCCCAGAGCTCCTTGAAGGACTTATTGGATTTGGGGTGGGAGAGGTGAAACGGGAGGAGAACTAAACTTTAATAATAGGCTCCCAAATAGTCTTGTATTTTCCTGGTGCTCTGTTTCTCCAGTTTATGTAACGATGTGTTTCTTTCTCAGCTTGCTTGTCAAACTGCAGAACATGCTTTGCAATTAACCATCCGTGATCCCTGGGTATTGCTAGGCGGTGGCTGTACGGAAACCCACTTGTCCTCATACATAAGGCACACGGTATGCAGAGCTTTGTGTGGGTATTTAAAGCTGCTTAATGCACTTAAGTTCCTGCAGTTTAGAGGGGATTATGAACAGAGGTGAGATACTTTACCGGAAGGTGCTGTGTTTGTTATGCAGAGGGCTGGGATAGCAAAAGAAGAGTGTGCGGAGTTTAATTTTTGTGTGGAGTTTTAAATTTTGCACATCTCCCAGTTGCCTTCCCCATATTAGGTCCTCCCCATGGAGTAGCCCTAGGGTTGCAAGCGACCCTTGGTGTCTGTGAAACCACCCTTTCTGCTTTGGCTTTGAACTGTGTGTGTGTGTGTGTGTGTTATGCCTGGGGCAGAAAGGCACTGCAAGGCCAAGTCCCAGCTGCCCTCTTCAATTCCCCAGGTTACCTCTGGGGACCAAAAGCATTGAGGGCAGGAGTGAGCCTGGGAGCTGCACAGCCCCAGGATGCCTTAGAAGACTTGAAAGCGAAACCACTTCTGAGTGCACTCTTAACTAGAAAACTCTGAAAAGGGTTGCCCTATCAGGATTGACTTGACAGCACAGAGTTAGTATTAGTAATCGTGGGCAGAGATAGCAAAGAGGCCTGGGGTCCAGGTTGGGTGTGTGTGTGAAGTTGTGTAGTGACATTTGACTGGGATATATCTCACTGAATAAAACTTGCTAAAAGTACAGGGGCCTTAAGTTTGGGCTGCATGGCGGAATATTTGTTTTAGATTTTGATTCTCATACTTAATGACAGTTGTACAGGTTTTTTTTCTCTTGTCTTGTTTCAGAGTTCTGCTCCGACCGAGGGCACTTTGGAATTGCTAGGCTGTTCGCAGGCAGAGTTCCAGCAAGTGGCGGATTCCTTCTGCTGCTCCCTGGCGTCTGTCGCTTGCTGCCTAGAGCATGATCAAGGCAGCATGCTCCTTGATACAAATTGGGGTCATTCCTGGTCTCTCCTGCCTGGCACTCCCAGCAGGTCTGATTGGTCCGCCTTCCTTTCAAAGTGTGGGTGTGGCCTTTGCCAGAAGGAGATGCCAGGCCTCAGCTGGCAAATGTTACAGTGTCCCTGGAGTCCTTTCCTGCCCAAAAGTGTCCACGAGTCTTCTGTGTCTTCTATTGATAATCCCATTCTGGACTGTTTTGCTGCAAAAAAGAATGCTTTGCAAGTTGGAGTTGAGACAGCCCATCTACTGATAGATCTGTCGTACGTAATTGAAGACCGCAATTAGTTGTACAGTCTGCCTGCTCTAACTGTGTTCCGTACGTTTAATCCCTTAATAAAACTTTGCCAAGAATTGTCATTGGGAAGGCTTATCAATTGATAATTTAGAATGCTGCAGTGCAGTCATGGCCAGAAGGAGATGCCAGGCCTCAGCTGGCAAATGTTACAGTGTCCCTGGAGTCCTTTCCTGCCCAAAAGTGTCCACGAGTCTTCTGTGTCTTCTATTGATAATCCCATTCTGGACTGTTTTGCTGCAAAAAAGAATGCTTTGCAAGTTGGAGTCGAGACAGCCCATCTACTGATAGATCTGTCATACGTAATTGAAGACCACAATTAGTTCTACAGTCTGTCTGCTCTAACTGTGTTCCGTACATTTAATCCCTTAATAAAACTTTGCCAAGAATTGTGATTGGAAAGGCTTATCAATTGATAATTTAGAATGCTGCAGTGCGGTCATGGAAGGCTACATACAATCACATTGTCATGGACGATATCCATCTTTTTTTCACACCTCTCAAGCTCTAAATATTACAGCAGGAGAAGGTAGGCTAAACCTATGGAGAACAAAAACTACACACTTTGCTGAGTATATTAATGCCAAAGAGTCTTCCCTCTCTCCCCCTCTACTGTTGTGACATGCCCCGGCCGCAAGCGCCAGCAGTGTAACTTGAAACTTTGGAATTTCTTTAAAAATAAAAAATTGCACTGGGCCGCATTACGAGCTGACCTGGGCCGCAAGCAGCCCTTGGGCTGCAGGTTGGACAAGCCTGCTCTAAATATTAAAGCAGGAGAAGGTAGGCTAAACCTATGGAGAACAAAAACTACACACTTTGCTGAGTAGATGAATGCCGAAGAGTCTCCTACTAGGACAAGACTCCAGCTGGACCATCTGGGCCACATGATAGACTTTGAGGCAATGTAGGAAGATCAAAAAATAATCAAATAAAATGAGGCTCCTAGGATACAGGACAAATTTTCTGTGACTGTGGAAGAATTCAGTCAATGCAGCATAGATAGATGGATGGATGGATGGATGGATGGATGGATGGATGGATGGATGGATGGATGGATGGATGGATAGCATGGTAAAAGGAAAAACAATTACATGCATTACCAAAACTGGCCACTAGAGGGCACCAAAGATCATGCTATGCACTTCACTAATAAGTATTTATAGCATGGCCTCTGGCACCCATTAGTGGCCAGTTCTGGTAATGCATGTGAAAATAGTTTTCTCTGGATTTTTTTTCTTTTAATATTTTCAAACCATGGATAAGTGAATCAGGGTATACTGATCACATGGATAAAGGGGTCCTACTGTAGTGCCTCCTTGCAATGTATTCTTTACATACATACATGGACACATATATACACTGTGATATAGTGGATAGAGTGTCATACGAGTACTCGGGAAACCTGAGTTGAAATCCCCATTTGGCCATGGAAACTGACTGGGAAGTGGCAATGCTAAAACCCTCCCTTGCACATCTCACTTCCCCTGAAAGCCTTATTCAGATTATCAAAAGTTGGAAACGACAACACATAAATTAATCGTACTCCCACAGCTAAGATCCAGGCACAACTCTCTGCAAACCCAAGAAGAATGAGGCATTATGTTGCTTAAATAACGATTCCTTATGCCACATAACAATCACAGTTTTGAAAGTCAAAAATCCCAAGTCAAAAAATGACCAAGTCCTTAAGTGAGCCTGCTGCAGTTTTCAGTTAGATCATTGTGTTTTAGAATTTGATTAATTTGCTCTTTTCTAGAGCAAAATATTAAACTATCACAAGTCTTGTTTCGAAGTGTCATCTCTATTTTAGGGAGAGGAGGGGGCGAGATGTTATTTGCAAAATGGTATTTCGGAGCTTTGAAATAAATATTCTTTTGGTCACCTTGGAAGGCAAGCCAATACCATCTGGTAGCAGCGTGATAATGCTTTTGCTTTTTAAAAATAAATTCCCGTTGAAGCCAAGACATAGAAAGTGTCCATTCCTAACACTCGCATCTTTATTTTTAAGTCTTGGTGTATGTAAGACAAGGTAACTTAAAACAGCTCTGTTTTTGATCTGCAACTTTTGAAAAGAGAATATTGACATTAAACAATATCCTAATACACGTCACACACCCTGACCGGCATCAGCCTCCTGCATGCCCCAGCACTTTTCCTGACTGCCACGTGGAGCTCCAATGGAAGGGGCTGGCCAGGCTTCCACCATCAGACCACAGGCTACCATACTGCCAAGAAGAGGGCCCTAGGGAAGCTTGAGACCTGCCTTTCTCAGGCCACTTCCTGGACACGAATAGCATTTTATGAATTTATAACCCAAACTGTCCTGCTAAGATCCCTTCAATTCAAGGAAGAAGTGTATTCATCATCTCTTCCATCTCCCTATCAAGTTTAACATTCTCCTAAAACTTGTCACCACAAGGGCATTTAATCACTAATGGGAATTTCTTGCCACCTTAGAGCCAAATTTGGTTCCACATGTGTTCTTGGGGACCACATTGCAGTGGTGAGTAAGGCAAAAGAATGGTGCCAAAACCGGCAGGTTTCCACTGAGAGTAATGGCTACTACTCCTAGTAATAAATCTTGGGAGAGTGTTTCAAGTCTTTCTATAATAGGTGGCTGGGTACCCATTGTGATTAGTAGGCAGGAAGGCACAATAAACGTTGGGGCCTAAATGCAAAAGTGTGTACAGTAGGACTGTGGTGTCCATGGGGAATTGGTTCCAAGTCCCCCTCCGTGGATGCTGAAAAATGTGGAAGCGTCAAATGCCATACATTGCATGGCCTCTGGCACCCTTTGGTGGCCAGTTCTGATAATTACACCCTGGAAACACATATACTGTAAATAGGAGCTTCTGGATTTTTTAATTTACTAGTATTTTCAGCCAACAGATAACTGAAGCGGTAGATTCCACAGACTGGGCGGTGGGTCCAACTGCATTCACATTCAGATGGATGGGCAGGCAAGCAAGCATACCTATGGGCACCCTGGAAATACATATACTGTAAATAGGAGTTTCTGGATTTTTTAAATTTACTAGTATTTTCAGCCAGCAGATAACAGAAGCGGTAGATTCCACAGACTGGGTGGTGGGTCCAATTGCATTCACATTCAGATGGGTGGGCAGGCAAGCAAGCATACCTACGTGTTAGAGACAGGCAGCCTGGCATTCACTTGAATACTGTCTCTCCCTACCCTATTAATTCACTTCCCAAATGAGGCGGAGAAAAACACACCTGGCCCCAAATGAGAAATACTCTTACCTGCTGCTGCTGCTCTTACCATTTTCTCTCTCCTGTCCCTGCAAACACATCTATACACATTCACATAGAAGAGGATGTTTGGAGTTCAGCAGCAAAGGGCCACAGGGTGGGGTGGGGGTGGGTGGGAGCTGACTTCGATGTCTGATAGAAAGACAGGGGCTGGAGGAGCCGGAGCCTGAGGTGAGTCAGCCCCCAGCTTCTCTTATTAGGCCATCCTGCAGAGCCTTATGTACAAGAGTGTTTCCTAGCTAAGGATTGTGGCGTGCCCACTCCCAACCCACAGCGTATTTTTGTTCACTGCTGTCCGAACTGGTGTAACAAGAAGGCTCATGAGTGGTGGTGACACTGGCACTTCACTCCCAGCATTGCTCCATGTCCTGCAAGGCACCCACCCGTTTTCTCTCGGGCCTCTTCCTCTCTCTCTCTCTCTCAGTTTTTTGGTGTGTCAGGAGTGTGCAGGGAGAACCTGTGTGTGGCTGTCTTTGTACTGACATGCAGAGCACTGGTGGCAGGCAGGAACAGAAGGACATGGGCAGTCTTTCCTACCATTTCCCTAGCACCTTCAACCCAACCCCCAAAGCTTTTTTTGTTGTTGTTTTTAAAGTTTGGCTTCAAAATGCCCCTTGTGGTCTTCGTAGGACAGGGAAGGCAACTTTCTGTGCTTTGAGGATCCCCAATACTCTCAGGGCTACCCCACTCCATTTTTTTTTAAAAAAAAATACTGGTTACTCAAGGATACCAGGAGGCTCTTTCCATTCAAGGGAGGGGGAACTTATTTGTGCCAAAGAAAGTGGACAGAGCCATGAAAGCAGCCATCTAAGGTCCAGCAGTGAGTTTATGTAACCCCTGGTTCTGGGTAAGTTGCCCCCCTTCCTTGGAAATCTGAGAGTCTTCCAACCAAGGCTGAATTGGGCTGAGGGAGTGACGTCAGCCGAGCGTCCAGGACTGTTGCTACACTCCAAGTTTCCATATCCTTTGGGACTTTGGCCGTTGACAGCACCCAAAGTTATTTTGGCATATATGACAGATGCCTCCCAACTTTTCCTGCAATAAACACATCACGATAATCCAATAATAATACATTAAGTAGTAATCTGCCTTTTTTTTTGTGAGCCCCCCCCCCAAGTCACTGCTTACAGTGGTTGCGTCATTCTGTCTAGAGGTAGGACTGGCCCAGCTGCTTATGGCTGTCCTACTTATAGAGTTTATCCTTTGAATATCTGTGTCTCTTTAAGAAATGAAGCGGAGGACTCAGCTACGCTACATGGCTTGATCATACAATGAGGATGTCGACAGAGTGCCAGGAATATTTTTCTTTCCGGCTGCCAAGCAGGATCAAAGAGTGCTTGCTTGTTAAGGCCCCCTTCTCTCTCTCTCCAGTTTGCTCAATTTTCTGCCCACGTGGGACATGTTGTATTCAGCAGTCTTTATCATAAACGAGGTCTATATAACTCATCCCGGCAATCTTTGTGTCTCATGCATCTTTCAATTTGTACAAAGAATGCAACTGTAAGATGCCTTCCTGTGTAATTCAGATTGAAACATATAATTAAATACTGATCTTCCCAGCCTGCCTCTTCTCTCCCTTCCCCTCCCCTTGACCCAGCAGTTTTAGTAGCTGTGAGCAAGTAAGCAACTTCTCCATTTTGTTTTCCTTTTGTGTGAAGGGAATGCAAGAATTCAATCACTGGGGGAAAATACGGATGAGAGTGGCACTGGTCTGAAAGCTCTTCTGGCAGAGAGTTTGGGGGGGGGGATTCTCTGAGATGTGCTATGTCATTATTTGTTGTTTTGCTCA